CGGGGTGAGCACCAGCGTGTGCTCGCGGGGCGAGGGCTCTCGCACACAAACTGCTCCCTGTGCAGGGAGGCTGTGTGGCAGCAGCTCCGCACACCGTGCTACCAACGGCCGTGGCTGCCAGAGTGCTTGCAAATGGGGATAATAAAAAAAAAAAGTAAGAGCTAACCTTTTCTTCTCCCTTGAGTGTTCCCGGGTGTGGGGAGCAGAGCTGGATTCCCACTGCAGTCAGTAGGAGTTGTGTTCTCGAGCCCTAAGGGCTGACTGGCTGGAAAGAAAGATGCCCCTTCGGAGCTGGGCTGCAGTGGCAAAGCGTACTCTACCGAGGGCAATCCCTAATTCAATTGCCTCCCAAGGATGCATGCTGGCACAAAAAGAGTTTGACCTGGAAAATCGGTCAGTCCTTCCCTCTCTGATAAACGCTGGCTTACCTCATGAGCTGATTCATTATGAGCTCGTCATCTCTTCAGGGTCTTGACATAAGGAGAATAGATTTGCCTATGGATTTGTAAATAGACTAAAACAGATCAAATCTGCTCCACGTTTGTAAGCAACTGGGATGGAGCAGGCTGATGCAAACCTGCCTCTTTCCAGGGGTTAGAAATCAGGGTGTGTGGGGGACAAGCTGCCTTTCCGGATTTGGAGGCTTCACAAGATTTGGGTATTTTATGGCAGAGGAGAATGAACCTGGCTCTGCAGAGCTGGCCATCGCTAGGACCAGGCACCAGCTCCCTCCGGCAAGGCTTGCGTCGCACCAGGGATGCAGAAGAGCTTGGGATGAGGACACACCACGGGGAATCCGCTCTCAGTGTCGGAGCACTGGGGGCTTTGGCACTTCGAAGGCGCCGCGTCTGCTTTAACCCCTCTAGTGCAATGGAGTGATCTGGCCCAGCGCCCTCCCTCAGTGTCGGAGCACTGGGGGCTTTGGCACTTCGAAGGCGCCGCATCTGCTTTAACCCCTCTAGTGCCATGGAGTGATCTGGCCCAGCGCCCTCCCTTGTGCCGGTCTCCTGCTTGTACACAGGGAACCCGGGGTCAGGGGCTGTGGGCTCTGCCTGCACCTCTGTGAGGGGGCTTCATTTCGGTGGAGACCAGGATCAGCACCTGGATAATGCAAAGACGGGTAAAATCGACCCTTAACTCCCTTCTTCATCTGAGCAGTGCCGGGGAGCCAGGGCCGAGATGTGAGATGCTCCTCACTGCCAGCAATCAATGAAGATGCATCAAAATAAATGGGATGTGGTACCACGCGTTCCTGCCCAGGACGTGCTATGGTTTCTGTTTGGTTGACAGCGCCGCAACAGCACATGACTTGCTGTAATGTTTCTTCACTGGCCCCTGGGGATGAAGTCCAACCTCGGGGTGATGGCAGCTGAGAAACACCCCTGTTTGTGTGCCACCACCACGCCGGAGGGGACAAGGACCCGCACCTCCCGGCCTCTGACAGCAATGATGGCTGCCAGCAAAAATAACGCAGTTAAGAACTTAATGAAACTTTGTGTTTCCATGCAGCGTCCATCTCTAGATGTCAAAGCCCTTTGAGACAAGTGAATATTGACCCAAGGGGAGAAACCACCACTTGCATCAACAGGGCTTTGGCATATACCTCTCCCAGCTTCTCCATGATGTAGGTAAACACTTTGGGATGTCGGAGAGGAAGCTGTGAAGTTTAATTAACTTCTTCCCTAGCACAATCTCAGCTCTGCGATAACTCAGAGAGGAAAGGCTCCTCGCTGGGGCAGCGGTGCCGGCATTTCTGCAGCCACAGCCAGCGCTGAGCATCCCTCCTGTGCCAGGCGGCGGGGGAAGCATCCCGCAGCCCACTGCTCCCGGGCGCAGGCTGCAGGGCATCTGGCTGCAGGT